TGCATTCCTATGGGAAATGCAGATTTGACTTGAGAACTTTTTGACTTGAGAACCGCCTTCCAATACAGATAAAGTTCTCAAGTCAAGACCCCACTGTATTTCTTGAAGTGAGCTCCACATTGGTAGAAGGGCTTCTGTACTCTTTTTCTCTGGTGGTAGTTGTTTGGATATTGAGTCATGGCAACTGGACTCCTTAGATACTGTACAATCTGTCTCTTATTTATCATGCTGCCCTTTCATCTGTCCCCAAAAAGATTAGACACACACACACACACACACACACACACACACACACAAACCCCCCTCAAACAGACCTACAACAAAGTGTGGAAGTGGGATTTTCACTCACTCCCAGTCCTTTGTCCTTCTAAGAAGCCTGTTCAGACCAGGGAAAGGTGAAACCAATATGGAGGCTATATCGAGGGTGTCCTAGCAACTCTCCTCAGGCTGAAGAAGCTACTTGGATGAATAGGGAAACGTTTCAACCTAATAAGAAAGAAGCCCAGTTTCCATGACTCAACTTCCAGATCACCTCACCTGGATGACTGAGAATTTTCACAGATCTAGTGGTAGTTATTGTGGATTAATGAATCCGAAGACAGAAATTAATTAAATTTCAGTTATGTTGGTTAAAAACTATACTGTCCAATTCTGTATCTTTCAACTTCCTAAAAGGTAAAACGGGGCCAAAAATGGTTAAAACAGAAGATATTCTTTCCAATGGAAGGGAACCCCCTGTGATAGACTACTGTGGTATCAGAATTCACTGGGAATGCTGAAAACGGCACACTCTGTGTGTCATGTCCCTGCCTGGGGCATTTTGCCCTCCTGGTCCTGCCCAGGGATATAACTAGGTGCTCTGCTGATTATTTCCATTAACTGTTCAACCCAAAAGTGCCTGTGGCACTCTAATAATACTGCCTAAAGGCTGACAGATATGATACATTTGGTTCAGACATTGATGTATCAGGTTGGGATGGGAGGAAGCTGAGAACAAGACCAGATATTGCTGAGAAGACTGAACTGCATACCAATTCCTAAACTTGGCCTAGTGTCGCTGTTGCTTTGTCAGAAGGATGACTCAAAAAGAGAGATAACACTCAGAACCCCTCCTTTATACAGTATATGCATTATTCTGGAACTGTGCTTATTATTTGATAGAAGAAACAACTGAGGTGACAACTGCCTCTGAGAGATTCTTATAAACTAAAATCTTACCACGAAACAGAACAAGGGAGAGAGAAGGAAGGAAGGAAGGAAAGCAACTGTCCTCCCGATGATCCCGTAATGGAACCATAGCTCAGAGAATGGGATATACGCTTGTTAACCGTTGTTAACTAGTATTTTTAGTCCTGATTGCTCTTAGACTCTGTATAGTTCCTTTTTTAATGCATTTTCTATACGTTAATAAAAGATTCCAAAGGAGAAGCCTCTCTGTGTGTGTTTGAGACTGGCGAGCGCTTGCTATGAGAGGCCCCCTGCCAAGGTTTCAGAGAGAACAGAAGTGAGTGCTACTCCTTCCCCAAGGCCTATTCAACAGTTGCAGCAGGATCCAGGAAAGGCACCTGTTAGTTTCCCAGTTCTCTACATACAATACTCTGGCCACCTACAGCACTCTTCATGGGAGTCCTACCCTCAAGAAACAGTATGGGAACACATCTTTTTTGCAACATCAGCTGAGTTCTTGTCTCTCCCATTATCATTGCCATACCAAGCCTGCTACACAAAATCTTTGAAAACCTAAAACTGAATTTCTGTTAGCAGCACAGACCTGCACTTACATGTATATGAAATGAGCTTGCTGTCTCTTTTTTGACAACAGGTCTTCCTTTGGTTTCTCATTCTTTAATTTCCCCCTCCTTTTTGTCAGCCACAGTCCCATGTCTGATGGAGTCCTTGTGCTTTTAACTGTATGGTTTACATAAATTTAACCAAGGAATAAAAGTTGCAGTTTATATGAGTTCTGATTTGAGGTCAGCATACAAATATGGAGGGCCTCTTTTTTTGGCAGAACATTTGTTGACCTATCAAGGGCTATTGGACATCTTTAGCTGCCACAGACTTTCAGCTATAATGAAAACCAAGGAAAAGATATCAGTGCCCTATGTGAGGGGCATGGAAAAAACTGTATGATTTTGTTTCATAATAGCTAGGATCCTATTACCTAAGTTATGCCAATGTTAAGTAAAACAGCATAGAGATCATAGCAGCAAATTGCCAAGAGTTAAGAAATGAATGCTTGCATTCTTTGTTGGCACCAAATCATATAACTGGCATGTGACAAGAAAGACAAATGTTGCAGCAATTGGCCACTGCAATTTACACCACTGTGACTTACATCAGCATACATAAGTACCAGGACTTTGACTATTAAGTCATACTCATGTTTATATTATAATTGATTCGCCATAGCCATGTAAATTAGCTGTGCCTACAGAGATTATACTTATTTTTTAGCCCTGCTCAATACTATTAGTGGAACTGACAGAGGTAGCAAGCACATACTGCAGAGCTGCAATTGGTTACAAGCATAGGACCTATTGGCAGAGGAGCAGGCCGGCTTTAGGCCACAAAAGTCCACCTTGGATCAGGGACTTATTTTCTACCATCTTGCACACAAATACTCATCTCCTAAGGGCAGTGCCCTGTATACTGCATTTATCGACTTTAAGTCAGCCTTTGACCTCATCCCAAGATGCAAACTCTGGGCCAAGCTTGAAGATAGAAATATAGACAGGAGGCTCCTTATGTTAATTCAATGCTTCTATGAAAACACTGGCTTGCGAGTCCTTTGTAATTCAATAGGAGCTTTATCCAACTCAATCCCAGTGTATAATGGGGTAAAACGGGGCTGTATTCAAGACCCCACTCTGTTCAATTTCTATATAAATGGCATTGTGGACAATTTATCAAAACCTGATCCCCCCCCCACGAATTATTCTCAGGCCTTCTATCCATGCTACTATATGCTGGATGATGTAGTATTACTGTCTCTAACTTGTGTTGGTCTTAGAAGGTTTTTTGAAGGCCTTCTTGTACTGTAACCAGGAACAATTGGTTATAAATTACCGGTATATGAAGACCAAAATACTTGTAACCAGTAGAAGGAGAATCAAACATAAATGGGCAATAAATAATCACCCTATAGAACAGGTCTTGTGCTATAAATATCTGGGCACAGCATTTAGCTCCACAGGCTCCTGGGCTTCCCCAAATATTTGTTACTGAATGCTCAGAAAAATACAGCAGCTCTAATTAGATGATTCTTCTCTAAAGGTGGACGACACATCCCCTCAGCAGTTCAAATCTTTAAGGGCAAGGTTATTTCTCCATTGCTATACAGCTCCCAAATATTTGCATACTCAACTCTACACTCCTTTGAAATCTTGTAGACCAATTTTTTGAGGTCAATTTTCGCCATGCCTCCCTGTGTGTAGCCCTTCGCTTGGAGGCCGGTCTAGTTTCCAGGTCAAAGTTCTTATGATTAACTATTGGTTAAAACTTATATTTTTCTCAGAAGGTCTGGAACCATTGACCCACTTGGATGCTTTCCAGTCAGACTGGAAATCTTTTGTAGTCAAAGAAATGCAACAAATTGGCTTCTCTCCCAATATCTTTATAGCGGTGGGTTACACCAATACCAAAGCAGCAGTCAAATGTAGGATTTGTGTTATAGAATGTCAGGATCATGTGAGCCAGATGGGTACTAACAGTGTGGTTACATACAGTGCTTTCACAATGTCTTCATATT